ATGTGTGCCTATGTTTATAGCAGCACAATTTGTGATAGCCAAATCTTGGAAACAACCAAGATGCCCATCACCTGAGGAATGGTTGAAAAAGATGTTGTATTTTTACACAGTGAGTATTATTTAGCTATTACAAATGATAAATTTGAAGTGCTTATATTGAATTGGATGCCACTTGAACATATACTCATAAGTGAAATAAACCAGACACACATGTATAAATATCGTATAGTTTCCCTAGTATAAGAGCTCAAAAAAGGAAATACAAATAGAAAGATATAATACAAGTAAAAGGAAAGCAGGATCTCAAGGACTAACTAATTAAGAGAGGGAAAGGAGAAGAGCTGGGAAACATCAATATGTCAAGCCATACAGTTATATGTAGAAGAGGGGCAAGGCAATGGTCCTGAGAATCGTCAGAAGATTTTTTAATCTAGCAGTTAATTGGAAAGATTCTCACCCTAACTATATATACTGATACCTGTGAACTAAGCTACTGAACTGCAGATGGTAATCTGTAATAGTAGTTTCATGCTTGGAGTGCCTGTCATTCTGGTCTTCTGAATATGCTCTGGTCTTCTGAATATGGGCTGCTTGTCATGACATGCCAGTTGCAGCTATGATGTCTCTCGGATAGATGGTTGTTCAAAAAGAAGGTGGTGGTGAATGAAAGCAAGAGACAGGAAAAGGAATATTGTGGGACTGTCCTGCTTCAAGGTTGTATATGGGGAGATTTTTGAACTTACGTGTAAACATAAGTATATAATTCTTTATGCCTATTTTTAAAATATATTCTAATTTTTAAATGTTTTTATCATATTGTGGAGGGACTTAAAGTTCAACATATCAATACTTGATGAAAAATACCTGATCCATATTATGCCTATGATGTTTGATATGCAGACAGATAATGAGGTTTAACTTAACAGCCTAAGTTGTATGGTAATAACAATAAACTTGTCTTCTGGATGGTTAACAACCTAAGTTTGCAAATCAAAATTAGAGAAAAAGGAGGGCTGCAAGGAAAGCCAACATTTTGGCCCTAGCCTTCTAAAGTCAATTAAGACTCAGGACATATGAGAACTTGTACTGTTACATCATGTAAGTCAGTAGTGTCCCAAATTTTCTGATCAAGAAGATTATGGGGCCAAATAGGAAAGTGATCGATGATGTAGAGTGTGCCTAAGGAGAGTCACCTGGAGAGAAAACATTCTCTCAGGCTTTCACAGAGAGCACATTGCCCAAGCAATGGCCATGACTCATCCACATGGCTGACACTGACAAAGGTTCTACAATCTGAGGTACAGGATCTCAGAATAAACCCTGACCTTATCAGACCCAAAAGCTACAGCTCTCGTTGCATAGGTCCTGCTTTACCTTGGTCTTAACCATCCAGCTGAAAAGTATAAAAACGAAATATAAGAAGTAAAGCCACACATTGTTATGTTGATCTGTAGTGGACTCAGGTCAACAATTTCTGACATTTCCAGTCAAGCTGAAGACCCAATACTATTATGGGCTACTGGACTCTTAGAATATTTTGCTGAGTTTACACACTTATAATATTCAAATAACAGAACTTGACAAAAGGGATACAGATGAATATCCATTTTGTATCTGTGTCTTCAAAGTGGTTAGGATAGATATATAGTTACATTCTCTTAATGCATATAGTGGTTTGTTTTAATGGTATTTGTAAATAGGATATCATGTCCGCATCTTGTACAGCAATTAACCACTAGGGAAGAATGTATGCAATGTGTTAATTATTGAAACTATTCTACCAATTTGATTTGAAACTGTCTCATTGCTATTTGTTTATCAATAAAATTATCGGATAAAAAAGTACTGGATGAATAATGGATAGTGCTGTTTCTATGTGACCGGGCTGAGTCTTCTGGTTTCGTATCCATGTCACAATAAGTATTCAATGATTAGTACTTGTGAGAAATTATGCCATTTCATATAGAAATGAAAATTTAAATTGTTAACCTATTCCCAATATACTCTTATCAGAAGTGTAAATAAATTTTAGGTATCATTTTACTTTTGTAATGTAACAACAGGAATATGTATGAGAATTTTCTTTATAATTAACAATAGCAATGGTCAAAATTTGATGAGTTAAAGAATTTAATAAAAAAACTGCTTTATTTAACTTCCTGTGCAATGTCAAACTAAATTATCACCTAACGAGTTATGACATTTAGAATAGTTATATAAAGTGACAAGCAAGGAACACTTAGTAATTAAAGAAAGTTTCCATGACAATTGAAGACAAATATTATATCAAAGTTATTTTTATTTATTTGCTTATTAATTGCAAAATATGTTTATTGGGGAAAAAGAAAGCTCCTATCCAAGAGGACAGAAGGGTGACCTAAGCAGGTTGCCCCCATAATTATTTTTAATCACATAAATGTTTAAATCAAGAGTACTCACTAGAATTTACCTATTTATTACTCTGAATTATGCAAATAATAGTTTGTTTTTTGGGGTTTTTTTGTTTTCTTTTTATGTTTTTTTTGTTTGTTTGTTTTTATTCTTTACCCTTTAAGAAAAACGGTTTGTGCTGTGCTATGAGTCTTTCTCAGAATACAAGATCACTAACTTTTCTGGAGTAATAGAATTTGAAGTGGCTGTAGAAAGTGGCAAATGAAAAGACAGCTTCTTTTCTGTTTTATGAAGTAGTTCTAAATATAAGCTGCACTTCATTTGCATTTGTTTGAACTGATTTTTTGATGAATCTACCTTGTGACAGCAAATTTCTTTTCATACCTTTAAACTGTAAGGTACATACAGTAAGATAAAGTTATAAGATTCAATCAGAAACAATAACATTTTATTACTCTGATTTATCTGTCTATTTAGGGCTGTTTGTAACAGAAGCTTGCACATAACATAACAACACGTTTCATAAAACAAGCCACAGGAGACCCAAAGACAAACAGCAAACATGAGTAACAGGAAAGAGATTTACACACATATTCTGCAAACAGGTCACATTTTCACCTTCCTCCCAAAACAGTATGATTATTCTAGAAAATGAGATTGTATAGGTGTGTGTAACGAAATAGCATATCCTATCATTATGGGTATGTTTAACATACAAATCTTTTCCACCAGGACTTTTGTAAAAATGTAAAACAAACCACTACAGAGCTTATATTAGAGTACAATTAGGAGAAATAAATAGAAATGATTAGGGGTCTGTGTGTGTATGTGTATGTGTGTGTGTACGTAATATACATGTATTTTAATCTATAGAAAGATATGTTATATGCGAGTACTCATCTAGTAATGCATACTTGTATATGTAGATATACATAGAAATATAAGTATATGTATGAGATTTTTTATTATGCCAAAATTATAGGAGCTAAAAAGTCTCACGATCTCTAGCCCACAACCCTAAAAATCAAAGAACCCATGTGTATTTCAGATCCAAGTGCAAAGGCATAGGAACCAAGAGCACTGATGTCGGTTTCTATCCAATGATCTGTAGGATCCAAGAGAAATGTCTTCAGGCGGAGACTGAGGATCAGAAAAAGCAATGCCAGTTTACCAGTCAGCAGAAGGCACTCCCTCTTAATTGTGAAAGTATTGGTCTTATTGTTATCCTCAGGCCCTCAAGGACTGGACAGAAGAGGCCCACTCAAACTGAAGATGGCAATATGCTTTACTTATGTATTGAGTCTGATGTTAATCTCATGTAAAAACAGCCTCACAGATACTCATAATGTTTGAACAAAATCTGCAGTTTATGGCCTCCTCAGTTGACAAGATTAGTCATTACACATATCTTAGATCAAAGAGGAATTACCAAAATTTAAGACCTTGAAAATAATGGATCAAGAGGACATAGTATATCTGAATTTATAGGCTGTATGTAAATTAGATGTGAAGGGGAAAAGCCTAGGTTTATAACTTCTACAATCATAAATAGTTTAAATATCAAACTACAATCATAAAATAATTTAAATATCCAATTTTCTAAATGAATCATAGTAATACTTACCTGGCATGAGAGACACCATGATCATGAAGGTGGTTTTCCCACGGTGAGGCTCAGCCATTGCATTACAGATATGCTGACCCTGTGATTGCCCCAAATGTTGGAAATTTGACTACACAATTAGTGGTAGTGAGGGACTGTGTTTAAACTCTCCCCTGATTTTTTGTGGTCCTTAAAGAATGAATTTGAACCAAAATAAATACATACAAAGAATCATAAAAGCCAAAACAAATCATAATTAGATCCTAAAACTGAAATATAATGAAGCAGCATTATTCACTAATGACAAATCTTAAACCCACTTTCAAATGATCAAAAGAACAGCCAACTATAGCTCATCATGTTTGAAAAATATGAGGGTGTGAACAAAAATACAGAAAATTAAAATTTTGAAACTAAGAAAAATTTAACATTCTGCATATGTTTGTGCAAATATATTTGAAAATACAGATAAAATTGTATTAGCTTCCCTGTTTCAGTACTCAATACTGGACTGTTACATATTAAGGGAGAGTTTTAAGTTGGCTCACGTATTAAAGTAATCAGACAAGGGTAAGCTGGCTCCAAGGAAGGCACATAGTGGCGGAGACATGTTTGATCAAAGATGACTTTCTGTAGGTGGTTAGAGCAGTGGAACAGTGCTAGAGGAGCAGAGGTGAGGGAACAAAGCCATGCCTTCAAAACTCACCCAAACACTTAATTTACTCCACCAATCTACCCCAGGGAACTGAAAGTTAAATTGAAACCTCATCCCTAACAGCCACAAAAATGAATAATTTTCCAATAAAAGTCAATGATAAAAAATGTAGAAAACAAATAAATGAAACAATATACAGCATTCATAAATTGGAGGAGTTAATACAGTTGAACTCCCCATTCTACCATGAGCAATCTACAGATTTAATGCAATCAGAAAAATGTAATGACATTTTGATAGAAATAGAGAAAACATTTAAAATTCACCTTGTCTGTGAATTTTAAACACATTCTGCACCACTAAAAGGATTTGGAAAAAGAACAAAGCTGAACACTATGTTACAAAATTATCATAATATAATGGTATAGATTTGTTAACTATACTACAAAACAGTAGACTTCAAAACAGTATTATGTTGGCATAAAACACACAAAAACAATGCAAGAGTCAAGAACGTAAGCATGAACTATTGATAATCTCTACTCTTTAATTAAAAAGTACAAAGAATGTGGGATAGAGAAGGATCATTAAATGTTGGATAATTACACATCGCCATGCAAAAGAAAAATTGAATACTTGTCTTCTCACATATACAAAAATTAACTTGATATTGGTAAAATGTCAAGCATAAGATCTATAATTAAAGCACCTAGAAAATGCAGTTCATGAAAAAAATCTCTTTGGTATTATTGTTAATTGTGAATCATTGGACATTATACCATAAGAAGGTCAGGCAGAAAATATGAAAATAGACAAGTGGGACTATAATAATTAAAATTCTACAGCAAAACACAATAAGTGAAAGGGTAAATTATAGGTTGCAAAAAATATTCAGATGATATTTGAAATGAGGGGTTAATATACAGAATTAAAATAAATCATATAACTCAATAGTAAAAAATACCAAATATCTTCATTTGAATATGCCTAAAAGGATGGCATCTGGTGCACAATAGAAAATTGAAAGTGTTCAACATAATTAACCATCTAGAAATACAAGCCAAAATCACAATGAGATATTTCATTGGATGGATACTATTAAAAAACAACTTTTTTGTGAGGGGATGAAGAAAAAAAAATCTTGTACTTATTTAGTAGGACTTAAGTGATACAGCCATTCTGAAAAACATGTGAAGAAGCCTTAGAAAATTAAGAACTCACTCACATGCTATCATATAACTCT